GTGTGTGTGTGTGTGTGTGTGTGTGTGTGTGTGTGTCTCCCTGTACTCCTAGCAGGGTTTAGGGTTTTAGCCATGTTTTTTTTAATTTCAGGGCTACACAATGAGGCTAACTTAGGTAGGGGCGAGGGGTGGTACATCCTTTCTCTGGGAAGTAATCAAGGCCGTCTACTCGGGCCTCCCAGCCATGATGGTGAGGAGCCTGAGTGAGTACAATCTTGTACGTTCCTTCGACTTGCCGGTGGAATAGGAACCGGACTGATGCTCCCCAGAATGGAAAGGAGCCAGAACTGCAAGGTTCTGTTTTTTTTTTTTTTTTTTTCAACATCAGACTGATATTGAAGAAGTTAATGCAGACACTGCAGAGAAAAACGATAAATTAATACAAGATATTTTGCATGGGATGGCCTGGAGCCAAGTCGCACGAGCAACTTGGTCTCGTAGTTTTGGACCAATTTGGTGACACGGCCCCAGTATAGCTATAGGATTGTCAGATCGGGCGGCCATTAATCGATCAAGCCGCTTGTGGGACTTGGTCCCACCCAGGGTGGGGGTGCGCTCATGGTAAGGTGAAAGGTCTAAAGACTCAACAACTGGGTTGAAGCGGATGAGTTGTGGGATCTCAAGTCTGCTGCTGATTCCTATGTTCCAGCCTTTCACCCACATACCCCGCGCGCCCTCGCCCCCCCCCCCTGCAACCCCACTCCAACCCCTCCGACACCCCCTTCCCCCCCAACCCCACCCCTCTGCCAGAAAATGCCTTTGGTAGACCTCTGTATGGTAGTATGGTCTTAGATGAAGAGGGAGAGATAGATCCCATGATGGAAACTACCCACAAGCCCAGCCTGCAGGACACTATTCCTGTTGCCAGCCGGTGGTGGTCTGCACTGACCGAATGAAGCCTCTGTTACAAGTGGTGATCACACGGACGGATGATTTTTTGAAGTCGTACCCTGAAGCTGTGTGGCGCCAAAAGTCTGGAATTCCTCGGGGTGGTGCAGGCGAGGGGGTAAATAAAAAAGATGATGCAAGAAACACTTTTTTTGTCCAAACACCTTGAATGTTGTGTTTCATCTCTCTTCTGGAGTTGACTCATCATTGGTCAAAATCGTTATGAATGACTGATGACAGGCTACGCAGGACGGATCGAGCTCCCAGATAATCTCAAGGCGCTGTTCCGGCCAGTGGCAATGATGGTGCCCAATTATGCGATGATAGCGGAGATCACCCTCTACAGCTATGGGTATTTAGAGGCCCGAGACCTGGCGAAGAAAATTGTCGCAACTTTCAGGCTATGCAGTGAGCAGTTGTCGTCCCAGGTAAAGAAGTGGCTGGTTGTTGTATTCACATCTTTTGCATGAAGAGGTGACCATATACATGCCACTTCAGTTCTTCAGCTTGTGGCAATATGCACATTTTACACGATGTCTGTTCGAATCAGCATAGCAAAGCCCCACTGCCTCGAACTGCCCTTCCACGGAGGGCATCCTGGGTACCAGCAAATATCCGGTCATGGTGGCCTGCACACTGTTCCATCATGAAGGCCAGCACAAAATTTGAGTGGGTGTGAACAACCCCTTGCCTCGCTTCTGCACTGGTGAGATCATTGGAGATGGTTATGGTCTTGCAATCCTTGTCCCACCCTCTCCTCCCTCTCCTCAATATCAGCTCCCTCACCACCCTCTGCACTCCTTCCTCTCTTCCTCTTCTCCCTCTCTGCTCTCTTCTCCCTCTATTCCATGTCCTCCCTCCCTTCCTCTTCTCCCCCTCTCCTCTACTTCATCTCATTGTTCTGGTGTTCCTGTGATGTTTCTCGGAAGTTGTCCCATCATTTCCCACGTTTGCAGGACATTTGGGCAAGGAGGGGAGGAAGATAACACCAGAACGAGGAGATGAAGAGAAAATGAGGACGCCTTCCAAGAAACTTTTGTCAAACGGGAATTCGATTATTCCACATGCATCACCAGGCTTCTTCACCCGGACACATCGTACAACGATTACTGCTGTATACCCCAAATACAGTAATTAGTGACTTATTACTGGCCCTACGTTGCATTTGGGAAATTTTGGGCTAAGACGGTAGCTTTCAGCAACCACTTGGACTCTGCCTTCGTAGCAAGATGTAACAGTGGGGCCGATTTGAAAACGTAAAACATGGACGTGACATTTCTCAGTGGGGCCTGCCACTTGATTCACTCTGCGTAGATTGACTGAACGCAGAAACCCTTGAACTTTCGGCGATCATCCCCCAGCCGTGCTGTAGGAGGTAACACAAGCATCCCCCAGTAGCACTCCCTCAGATGGCTCCTGTAGATCGGTGGGGAGCAGCACCTTCTGGAAAATGCGTCTAGCGTCCCATATATTCTCAACAAAAAAACAGAGTACCGGGGCCATTATTTCTAAGTCTGACTTGAGGGCCGCGCCAGAGCGGTTCACGTCAGGAAGGAGCCACGATGGGCTGTAGTGTTTGGCAAGATACTATGGGCAAGTTGGGAGAATTTGATCACCTACCCTCATCATGGCCGTAAGGCCGTAAGGCGGTGACCTTTGCTGCCGCCTGCCGAGGATTGGTATGGGATAAGACGTCGTCATGGCCGTAAGGCACCTTTGCCATCGATGTTGTTGCTTTACTAAGGAGAAACAAAAGAAATTTTCGAGATTGCTGAGATTGTCTAATGAGCTGTCTTTGGTGTGTCCTACAGGATCATTACGACTTCGGCATGCGTGCCGTCATCGCTGTACTACGAGCGGCAGGGGCTCTGAAAAGGCGCGGACTGATGACATGTGCGGCCAGCCAGGCGCAACTGAACTATCACTCCTTGCCCTTCACACATGGTGGGCCTGGTATCATTCCTGGTACCCCTCATCTCACCAGCGCGCCCACCAACATCCCCTCACCCGGTCCAGGGCATGGGCCACATAAGAGTGTTTTCCACACCCCAATTCCTACATCAAGAAACATCCCAAGTGGGGCATTAGGCCCTGATCCCTCCGAAAGGATACTCATCCACAAAGCTCTGAAAGAAGTCAACCTGCCAAAGTTTTTAGCTCCCGATATACCACTGTTTGAGGGCATTCTACGGGACTTGTTCCCAGGAGTTACTGCACCAGCAAGAGATCAAGATCATGCGAAGCTGCTCGGTACTCTTCAGTTGGATACAACTAGCCAGGGACTTCAACCAGAAAATTCCTTCATTGACAAGGCCGTTCAACTTTATGAGACGGTGCGCACTCTCACTCAAACTGCTCTCTCAGGCTCTCTGTCTGTCTGTCTGTCTGTCTGCCTCTCTCTCTCTCTCTCTCTCTCTCTCTCTCTCTCTCTCTCTCTCTCTCTCTCTC